TTGTGGGCAAAATATAAGTGTTCCACTTTATGTAATTATATTGAAATTATTCCTAAACAAAAAATATAATTAAATTTCCTTGTATCAAAATCTAATGTATATTTCTATTTTGAAGTGCGGCCCTCGACTATTATTTATAGGGCTAAGGTGGCCCTCTGTCCAAGTTGAGTTTGACATGCCTGCTATACACAGCCGGCAGGACTCCTTGGATGTGGGATCAGCCTGTCACAAGGCCTCTACCTACATACAGAAAACACGAACAATACATTTCTTGCGTGGGATCCGAACCCACGATCCCAGCGTTGAGGAAGCGAAGACAGTTCATGCCCTAGACCAGGGGTCTCCAAACTTTTCGAACCGCGGGCCACATTAGGTAATTCAGCACTTTCAACGGGCCGGATAAAATGAGAAATTAATAACTCTAGGTATATGAGTTTTATTGAAAGCACAGAATTTCATAAACTAAATGTAAAGTACGTGAGAATAAATTATCGTATATTAATGACAACAGACAGTAGCAGCAAATGCTCATATTTTCATCACAAATTATAATAAAACAATTAATGTGAATGATGGAACTCTTTTTGCATTCTTAAAATCTGATTAAATTGAGGTTCAAATTTTGAAACGCTAATCACAAGTAGCGACTTTAAATGTTCATCGGATAAATTTGCCCTGTATTTCGACTTGATGTACTTCATCTGGGAAAAAGTTTGTTCACACAGATATGTCGTCCCAAAAATGGAGATAAATTTACAAGCAAATTTCTTTAAATTTGGAAATTGCTCAGAGTTCAGAAATTTATAAAATTCGATCAAATTTCCTTCCTTGTATTTGTCTTTAATATGATAATTTTCCTGAAGTTCAATAATTTCCATTTGAATTTGACTTGGGACATCTGCAGCATCACAGTCAAACGGATTTTGAAACAATCTAATTTTCTGAGCACTGGAATCCAAATCAGAAAATCGCTTCCGAAATTGTTCTTTCAAATCTAAAATGACTATATTTGCAAACGAGGAAGGAAATTCTGCTTCGCCCTTTTTATGCAACTCTGCACAGTATAAGCATATGAACAAAGTTAATATATTTCACTTGCCTTTCCAGAAGTATCAACTTTGCTCTGAATGCCTTGATAAGTGCAAATAAACCACAGACTAAGTTATTTTCACCCTGCAACTTTAAATTCAAATGGTTCATATGGTTCACCAGATCGGCAATAAATGTTAATTTCCAAAGCCACTCGGTATCTGATAAAAGTGGTTCGTGATGGTTTTTCTCGGTAAGAAATATATCTATGATTTATTACAACCGTCCTACAGTGCATACATTTATTCACCTTACTCTTCTCTCTTGCACTACATGTTTCAGCACAAAAGTGCCAACTTCAGGTGCTTTTCGATGTACGTCAAATTACTTCATTCCATGCCCTGCTGTCTTCATATTAAAATAACTAAAATATATATTCGTCATATATATTGATAAATATTAAATATTAAAAATATTAAAACTGTTCAGGATTTGTCATCCTTATGTCATATCTCAATACGCGAGTCACACCTATCTTCTTCTATCGGAGTATTCTTCCTACTTTCGTGTGTGTATTGTGCTTTGTGTTGTGTCTTGCTCCTGTGACTGCGTGTGTGAGGCCAGAAGTGGCCGCAGTACAAGGAACTTAGTCCAACCCCACTAGCAATAAAAAAAAAGACTCATATTTGCAACATATCTACATTTAAACACTTACGGCATTTTCTTACGAAACCCCGGCGGTCCGCAGAACGCCATTGGAGAAACACTGACTTACACAGTACTAACCTGCTTGACTTTGTAATCGACAAACAGCTATTTCCTTGAAACAGCTCAATTATGAAGTGCATAATACAAAGAAAAGAAACACTTGAATGTTCACTTCACATCTCATCGACTGTGACGTAAAGCTATCCCTGTAACAGGCACAGAAGATCCACAGGGTAGTCAGACGTCGAGGCTCCCACATTTTCTAGACAATCGGCTCACAGATGATGATGAGGTTGTCAGACTTGGGCGCCGGCCGCCATTTGCCGCCCATAAATATTCCTGGTACTCATTTCTATTAGAGGTTGAGTTGACCCCAGGGCAATAGTGGCCTGGAAGGATTAGACCAAATGAAAAATTCAATGACCTGACTGGGAATCGAACTGGCAACCTTCCGGCTTGTAGCACAGTGCCTCAACCAACTACGCTAGTGCGTGCACATACAAAATGGATCTCTGACAGAAAGTTACAGCACATGAAATTAGGCTTTTGGCTGTGAGAATAAATTAAACAACTGAAACTTTCAGGAAATTACGTAAATTTAGGTCACAAACGTGACAATTTCCATTTAAAGTTCGCATACACCAACGCAAATCGAACTATATTGGACGTTAATGTAGAAGTCGAAAACTGTCCCTAAGTTTAATTAAGCATCACGCTATTAAAGTGTATGGGGGAATGGATATGTAGCTCCACGTATTCTCATTCCGGGCAGTAGACGGGATTGTGTTGTCAGCTTCACACCCCCGCCCCTTTACAATCAGAAATAGAACCCTCATACTTATCAGATAAGGAGCCGGGATAGAGACAGGCAACGGGCTGCACGACTGAGGAATCGGAATTCGAGTCCCAGTAAGGTCAAGAATTTTTTCTTCTCCATGTCGTTTAGACCGACTCTGGGGCCCACCCAGCCTCCTATCCAATTGCTATCAGAGCTCTTTCCCCAGGGGTAAAGCGGTCAGTGCGCGAAGCTGACCAGTCACCCCCAACAAGTATCGAGGTCAAGAATACGTGGCTCTCTACATCCACTCCCCCATACGCCTTCAAGGGGCAGTGCTTAATTAGTTAAGTACAGGGACAACTTTATTTTTCCTTGGCACTACAGCCCCAGTGGGCCAAGGCCTACCTCCATGAACTTCTCCGTTCACTTCGGTTTTTCTAGATCTTACACATTCGGTAGGACTCCTTGGGCGGGTGATCAGCTCGTCGCAAGGCCTCTACCTGTATACAAACACAGAAAAACGCACACACAAACTAAACATCCATGCCTGAGTGGGATTCGAACCCATGATCTCGGGTTTCCAAGCGAGCGAAGACAGTACATGTCTTAGACCGCTCAGCTACCGTGTCCGACCTGGGACAACTTTACCTTACCATAAAGCAGGAGTCTGGATGGACCTCGTAGTTGATCTGGACGCACAGAGAAGGCAGAATCTCTTGTATCTGACAGAAATCGAACCTATACCCCTCGACGTCCAAGTCCCGAGGCTATACCGTCTGAGCTATCCTGGCGCCACTATACTGGAATGATGTTTGTATATTTCTGGTTTATTCCATAATGCTTTCAGTTCCTAAAAGTAATTACATCGAATGCTAGGATAAGTAATGAATTATAAAGTATCTGGAAGGAAACGGCGTGAGTATTCTCCCGGAATCTTGAGGGCGACAGAAAATCTACGAAAACCCTCAGTCAAGTTAGTTAGTCCTCGGGTCGTGATTTAAACCGAGGACCCCTACCCCCGGCCCAAAAAGCGAAAGTGTTAACCACTGACAGCGAGGTTCGGTTTGGAGTTGCAGAAAGCTAAAATCTAAGTTTCATGACGTCCTCTAAACACGTGTTATGTAAACATACCAACGTAACAGACGGAAACAAACGAAATGTTTTACCTCAAGCTGAACAGTCAGCGGCCGGCTCTGGAGGGCGCAAAGTTCCTGGCGATAGAATGCGGTGTCGATTAAGAAAGGCTTCCGTCTGAGGAGGACCTAGGCCGCCATGTGCTCTGTAACCACCCTTCCTCTGATCTGTAACCAAAGAGCGATTAATGAAACATAATCCTCTGTTTCCAAAACCTCCCTTTCTCTCTGTATGGCTCAACAGCTCTTTGGTCCTAGGCCGCATTTTCAGATTCTTAATCACATAGTCGGTAGGACTCCTTGGACGGGGGATCAGCCCGTCGCAAGGCCGCTACCTGTACACAGGATAGGTCAAACAGAATAAACGCAAAGAGACATCCATGCCTCAAGTGGGATTCGAACCCACGATCCCAGTGTTTGAGCGGGCGAAGACAGTTCATGCCCTAGACCGCGCGGGTTAACTTACAGGACACACAAAATTTTTCCAAGTGTTTAGTTGGACCTGGAAGCAACCCTAAATTTTACGCTTGCATTTTCGATTAATAAATGTATCGTCTTTATAGTTTTTAAGTAAAATCTCTACAGTCAAATTTGTTATTTATTTTTAATCAGCATTACTTATATCATTAAATTTTCCATTTATTTAAATTTTTTCTTCCAGGGATATCTTCTACTTCAATAATCCGGATTATCACTTATTCCGGACAGCCTCCCCCCAATTAATCCGGATTAGTGAGGGTTTACTGGCCAATTTCAGATTTCAAAGTCTTAAGAAGTGCAACACTTTAACATATCGTACCCGACGTTAATTCCACGCAATCGCCAGGAGCTTCGAACTATTCAGCTCTAGTTAGATCGACTATGTTAAAGCTAATGCAAAGTGCTAATCATGCTAACTTTATTCCACTTTTACTCTAATGTGAGCTACATGCAAGGTTATGTAACACGCAAAACACACACACAACAGCTTGCATGCCAAATGGACCAACCGGCTGTCAGTCCTTCTAGCGCCTGCCTGTGTTTAGTGCAAGGCGTTTTAACCATCTAAAGCACAGTGGTAACTATATGTACCACTACATTTAATGTTTAAAATCTGTGCAACTTTTTTACATAATGAAGTTATGTGTGGGAGCACGCGGTAGCGTAGTTTGTTGAGGCACTGTGGTACAAAACGGGGAGGCTGCGGGTTCGATTCCCGATGGGGTCACTGGATTTTCAAATTTACCTTATCCTTCCAGCCGCACTATGGCCCTGGGGTAGACTCAGGATTTTACAGAAATGAGTACCAGGAATCTTCCTGGGGGTAACGGGTGGCCGGCGCGTAAGGCTGACAACCTTACCGCCATCTGTGAGCCGATTGTCTAGAAAATGTGGGAGCCTCGACGTCTCAGAACCCTATGGGCCTTCACGGCCTGTTACAGGGAATGGTGCTGTGTGTTCCGTACGATTCTCTTTAAGAAACCATTACCCTACACGGCTTTACTCTGTTGGTCTTTGTAGCGAAGACGAAGTGGTTTTTTTTTTCTGTGCAGCAGGTACTAAAATTTCAAGCTTCAAACAGTAAAGAGTAACAGTGAATAGTAGCATGGTACACGATATCACAAGGGTCATTCCGCATGAAGTAACGCTTCTAGTGTCAAAGCTGATTGTATTCTCGTAAAATGGGATAAAAGTGGTTAAAATGTGGTACAGAGATCATAAACACACACACACATACATACATACATACATACATATTAGCATGAAACATTGTTCCAAGTTCAATAAAAACTTGGCGAATATGCGAAGCCTTCAGTTTACATCAGACAAATTTGACCTGGACAACCTTCATTTAAGGAATAAGTTCTTCGCAAAAATAAATTAGGAAAACAATACCCGTAATAACAGGAAGAGACCAACTGGACTAAGATAGCCACGAACAGGAAAGCAGAGTTTATGACTTCCGCATAGAATTCCTGGACTCCTTTGTGATCTGGCTTGAACCAATCCATATAACAACAGATTATGATCTCGTGTATTTAGAGCTAGGGAGAATGTGATCATTATCTGCTGAAGCGGTGTTGTATTTATCACTGCAGAAAGCGGTGTTGTACCGATCAATGTCTGCTAAATGCTGTGTTGTATTGATCATTATCTGCTGAAAGCGGTGTTGTACCGGTCATTGTCTGCTAAATGCTGCATTGTATTGATCACTGTCTGCCGAATGGGGTATTGTACCGGTCAATGTCTGCTAAATGCTGTGTTGTATTGATCACTGTCTGCCGAATGGGGTATTGTACCGATCAATGTCTGCTAAATGCTGTGTTGTATTGATCATTATCTGCTGAAAGCGGTGCTGCAGTCGCGTGTATAAAACGAAACCAATAAAATAACAACCTTCCCTACTCCACAAGCTGCCCTCAATTCAAGACGTAATGAATGTCGATTACGACGCTCGATTCTTATTTTATAGTTGAAAATAATTCAACTCACGTTTGACGAAAAAAGCAGTTTACACTGGAACCATTTATAAACTTCATATTAGAGGCCATCAGCATTCGAGAAGGAAACTGGACAACACCAAATACAGCATACACGGCAGAAGAAAGTTGTCTGAGCATTGCATAACTTAATACAATCCTACCAGATACAGAGACACACTGCCCTTAAAAGGGATTTCTCGACAAAGCAGTTTGCAATATAAGCCCCACCCCTCACATGCCAGTGTGAAGTGTCGTATTGTTCTTGTGTACCATAACTCGAGAAATGCAATTTCAAAAAGACTACGCAAGTTGACAAACTTATCGGAAAAAAAGAGCCTTCTGAAATAATCGATTATCATTTTTCCTTTTATCCCACGGAAGAAATGTTTCCAGTAGTAGTAACGCAAGATCTACAAAGAATCCAATATTACAAATGTATTAATTTATGTTCTACGCGTATTTAATGACACTGTCAGTAGATCGGGCTATTACTTACTTTCTTACTCACTCATGGAGCTGAGCCCTTCTGGAGGAGCCGCCAATTCAGCAGCTACTCAAGAATTTCCCAGCATTTTTTATGGAACCCGAAGGTTCATCACTGTGTTCACAAGAGCCTTCCACCGGTCCCTATCCTGAGCCAGATCTATCCAATCCATACCATCCCATCCTATCCCTCTAAGATCTATTCTAATACGAGTACTGTCCACCCACCGACGCCTTGGTCTTCTCTGTGGCCTCGTTCCTTCCGACTTTCCCACCAATATCCTATATGCATTCCTCGTCGCCCCCATTCGTGCTACATGCCCTGCCCACCTCACCCTCCTTGTCTTGATCATTCTAATTATACTCGGAGAAGAGTGCAGGTAATGAAGCTCCTCATTATGCAGTTTTCTCCAGCCTCCTGTCACTTCATCCCTCTTCGGTCAAAATATTCTTCTCAACACCCTGTTCTCAAACACCATCAGTCTACGATATGTTCCTCCCTTAATGTCAAGACCAAGTTTCACACCCATACAGAATCACAGCGGGCTATACAGCGGCGAACAACTGGACTGGTAAATAATGAATTAAAAAATAGCACACCCTCGTTATAACGGACTAACAGGAGGGACAATGCCCGTCATCGCATGTGTCCGCTATAATCCATTGAATGGGCACTAACAGAAACCCTAGGAAACAAAACCAAAACAAGCAATAAACAGAAACACACAATGCAATTACATAACGGTTTCTTTTTAATTTTAGTTTTCTCTCTCTGGCCCTACAGCCCTCTGAACCTTGGCTGCTTCTTTGACAGTTTCTTAATCCTATACACAGTCGGTAGGACTCCTTGAACCGGGGATCAGCAGGTCGCAAGGCCGCTACCTACACACAGAATAAACACACACAAACATCCATGTCTCGAGTGAGATCCGAACCCACGACCCCAGTGTTTGTGCAGGCGAAGACAGTTCATGCCTTAGACCGAGCGCCCACTGTGATCGGCTGGTTCTGTTAACTACAAAACCTCATTACTGCAACATCTCGAAAAATTCACAAAGAAAGATCTAACAGAAATGAGTACCAGGAATTAATTAAATAATTTTCTTGGGGAGCAAAGCGCGGCCGGCGCGTAAGGCTGATATTTGAGCCGATTGTCTAGATAATGTGGGAGCCTCAACCTCTCACAACCCTATGGGCCTTCACGGCCTGGTACGGGGATAACTTTACTTTTTTTTTCAGACAGATTTTGCCGTTTTATCAGAAATCCGTTATAACGAGGTTTTACTCTGTACGGAACGAAACGGCTGTGGAATAATTTCGGGTACTAGTCCAACATTTGCCTGGAGGGACTGAAGATAACCCCGAAATATGCAAGTCAGAATAGCCGGTCTCCGGGCCTACCCAGTACGAAAGCATGAATGTTACCTATTTGATGACCAAGTTGGGTGCGAGATACCGCAGCGAATCTATGCAGGAAGCTTCACATGCTGTAGGGCTGCAGCTGAACTAGAGTGACCAGCTCCAGCCACCTCACTCCGGAAGCAGACCCGATCTTAGTACGAGCACTCAATGCCTCTGCCGGGAATCGCACATGGACACGAACCCAGTCATCACTCAATCTCGTTGACAAATTTTTATATAAAGTTATATAATGTACGCCTATGTATAATGCAAAAAGCATTGCTGCACTGTTACTGTCTCTGCGTTGTCAGTTCTTCAAAGCTCAAGCGGTTAGTCGCTGGCTTCCCACCGCGGCGGCCCGGGTTCGATCCCGGGTTCTGGTCAAGTGGGATTTCTGGTGGACAAAGTGGCTCCGGGGTAGGTTTTCTCCGAGTACTTCGGTTTCCCCTGGTAAACTTCATTCCACCAAATTCTCCGTCATCATAATCACCCGCAGCAGGCTACAATAGGCCAATCAGTGACCGCCGTGCCGAGCGAACCCAGTTGGACTCTACCCCTCACTAAGCGAATTAAAAAGAAAATTGTCCCTACTTTGTTAGTTCGTCAAAGGTTATTTTTCGTGACCTCTCTGTTAAGAACCTCCCATTTACAATTCAATCACAATCACTCCAACCGTTCTCGAGCTACGACATGACTAACTTCATGGTGCTGAGCCCTTCTGGAGAAGTCGCCAGTTGTGTAGCTACTCCAGAACTTCCCAGCAATTCATGGAACCCGAAGGTTCATTATCGTGTTCACAACAGTCCTCTACTGGTCCCTATG